GTTGGCATTACTGGAGATGCCTTATCTTGGATTGCTTCATATCTCTCAGGACGCTATCAATCAGTTATCATTAATGGAGTAAGATCAAAGAAGTATGAACTAAAGTTTGGAGTGCCTCAAGGCTCTGTCCTTGGCCCAATACTTTTCACCATCTACACCCTACCAGTAGGAGATATAGCAAGATCTCACAATCTAAACTTCCATCTGTATGCTGATGATACACAATTGTATCTGGGATTCAGACCGTTGACTTCATCATCAATGAGCACTGCCTTTAAAGCAATCTCAAGCTGCATAGATGACATCAGATGTTGGATGAGAAGCAACTATTTTAAACTTAATGATGACAAAACTGAGCTCTTGATCATCAGCTCTAAACAGATGCAGTCCAATGTACGAGTTCCTGGTTTGAAAATTGGGGACTGTACAGTTGAGCAAAACTCTTGTGCCTGAAATCTAGGCGTGATCATTGACTCAACACTCAGTCTGGATAACCATATAAGCAGTATGTGCAAGACAGCTTACTTTCACATCAGGAACATCAGACAGATAGCAAGATACGTAGACACAGCATCAGTCAAGTGCATTTGTAACATCAAGACTTGACTATTGTAATAGTCTTCTGTATGGTATCCAGCAACATCATCTGGATAGACAACAGCGTGTGCAAAACACTACTGCCAGGCTCATAACACGGAAGTCAATGCGTGAACACATTACACCCGTCCTGAAAGAGCTGCACTGGCTACAAATCGATCCATGGGTTATCCCCAGTATACCTCCAGGAACTCGCTGCCCTTTACCAACCTGGACGAACACTGAGATCTGCAAACCAGCTACAGCTTGCTGTTCCACCATCCAGCAGAACAACATATGGCAACAGAACCTTCCGAAAAGCAGGTGCAACTCTATGGAATGCACTGCCCATTGATGTCAGGGGAACTGAAGATGTCAACACCTTTAGATCAAAACTCAAGACCATCCTCTTCAAAAGAGCATACGGCTGAGCGCTCTTGAGCAGGCAGTATGTCTGGATACGTAGCGCTATATAAATGCTTAATTTGAATTTGAATATATACAGTGTTCCCTTGTTATTGCACCCTTCAATATAGTGCTAACTCGGTTATAGCGTGCGGTAAAGCATGGCTCCCAAAATTTACTAACATTTTCAATAAACTCAAGTTTTTCAATTCAATGACACAATGTTTTTTCCCATCTCAAAAAACATTATCAGCTGATCACTGTGATCACGTAACACCGGAAATACCTGTCAACAAATCCAAACTGAAGTACGCGATTTAATCCTATTATTATATTATCTGGTAATATAAAAAAAATTCATTGTTTATCTGGACTAATGTTTGCAATATATTTTAATGATATTCAAAATTTCATTCAATAATTATCATAATGTTTACAACAATTTCGGCGAAATCGTATGCGAAGTGAATGGTAGATTGCACAACTCACCGTTATCAACTTATTAACAGCAACCACGGTCAGATTACCGCTATTGACGCCTTGAAACGAACTTAAGTTGCAAGAGAATGGATACATATATCCTAAATGCCATACCATGACTGGCTAAAAGTTATATTTGAGGCAGTTTGACTACTAAATGTCAACATAACGTTTTCGCAATCGAAATACATGTAGTGCGGGAAGTCCCCACGGTGACTGGGCAAAATCGTTCCATACGTTAAAAAATATCCTGCATACAATTTATACCAAAGTGCTATGCTTATGGTTCTTATAATTTTTTGACCGAGTTTGTTATACCTGTTTATTCACCTGAGGGGATACGATGTGTTGTTTTTTGAAAGCGCATATTAATACTCAATAAATCTTTTTTTACACTATGAATCATAATAACTTCTATTCTAATCTTTTTTGAAACTCTGAAACGTGCAACGTAGATCATGTAAGGTAGGCAGAGCATGTATACTGTTTTGTTTGTCATCTACCACCTACGACTTGACCTTCGCTAAAACGCTGATCATCTATAACACTCATCAATTATTTGGACCCCGAAGGTAGCGTTGTAGCGAGGGATCACTGTATCCTCCTGTTGATGAAGACATTCGGATGATCGTCGGTTTCCCTCAGCTCAGTAACTCAATTTCGATGACAGATTTGCAACTTGGTAGGATAGATGCTGCCTTCATCACACCCTTTATCCACTGTTGGCGATGGCTTCCGGACTGCTAAAGACAAGAATCCATCTGAGGCTAATGACCAACTCCTTTCGGTCTTGGATTGGCAACGGCATCAACTTGTGCACATGTCCACTTACCTACAATACTGCATTGGATCCATCACCATCGCTAGATGTTCAGCCTTGCTCAAATAGTCTTGCTGGGATCCGTCCTTCAAGACGCAATTGATGCGCCAACCTTGGTTTGGTTCGGCTCTCATCAACGGCCAGATCCCTGCTGTTGCCAAGGAGGCCCAGAGTTGGGACGCTATCAACAACAGTTTTATCTCCTTAGTACCATGGAAAGTCTCCCCTTTACCCAGCTTTCTCAGCAGTGGAAATTCTATGTTGGGAAGAAAACTAGTTTGAAGTAGAAGTCCTCTTTTTTTCGCCAGAAAAGACCAGACCTACAAACTACCCCACCGAGGACGCTTTCTATAGACTTTCTTCGGATGGCCAACAACTGGCAACTCTCTCTGCCTGTTGTCCGTTGTACATCCATCTCTGTTCATTACGGATCCTCCGCCATGGTTACTGCCTGCAGTTCGATGCCGTTCATCCTCTAACTACCATCCCCTTGAACCTTGATATCGGCCTCTTGATGTGCCAGCTCTTCAGGCCAATATCGATCTACTGAACGCCGACTCCATCTCTCCAGTGTTTAATTCTCCAGTCTTCCTGGTGCCCAAGAAGGATTCGTCCAAACTACGAATGATCCACAATCTGGCGTCAACCAACCACCATAATCTCGCGCCTCCGCCACATTTCCAGATGATCTCCATCCGGTCTCTGCGCCACCTCCTTCAACCGATGGACTTCCTCATCAGTCTGGATCTCCAGGATGCCTACCTGTACATTCCCATTCATGCAGCACATCGTCATTTCCTCCGCTTCATCTTTCGTGGCTCCCATTTGGCATTTCCAAAGCTCCGTGGTTATTCACATGTATAACCCATCCCATCGTTGGGTTCCTTCACCGCAGGGGAATTTGGTTCGGAGCCTACTTGGTCATGGCGTCCATCAAACCCTGATTCTTCAGCGCGATTTCATCCTTCGCCTTCTCCATCGGTTGTTTTGGACGATCAACATGGAGAAATCGGATCTCACGCCTTCTTGCCATCTCACTTTCACAGGCGGTCTCTTTCTAAAAAGACCTCTCCTTGATACAGGTTCCTCCGGATCGGTTCACAGCTATCCAATCCGGGGTCAGGAGAGCCCTCTCTCAAGCTCTTGATCTCTGCCAGTGGCAGGGCCTTCCCTTTTTGGCACAGACCTCCATGCTAACGTCTCCGTCCGGTGCTTCTGGTCATCTACTTCTGTCTACTTCCACATTTCTGTGGAGGACGTCGAGGGTACGCATAGCTTTGGTCCACTTGTCCTGGCCCAGCAGGTGATTGACCAACACCCGACCCGGTTCGCCGTGCCGTTTCCGAGGAGTGTTGCTGATGCCTGTTTCCAAGGTAGGACCATCCCTTGTGCTGTTCCTCTTGGGTTACTAGGTACTGTTCTGTCAGAACCGAGTAATGGTTTTGGCCCGTTTTTCCCCTCTTTTTGAGCCCGATACTGAATACCTTGCTTGTACCCATTGTCAAGCAATGTTCTCACTACCTTCAGACCACCATTCTGTTCCGAGAGGGCTTGACCTGCATCTTATCCCCTTGCCTGCTGTTCCAGGAGCTGCTACCTTGCTGTTGCCTGCTGGGTTTCCTGCCATATTGTTTATTTGTGCTTCTTCTGTGTGCCTTGGATCTCGGGGTAAGCCAGCCTTCCATGTCAGTCAATAAATCACTGTGTAGCGTCAGGTAAGGTAAAACATTTCTAATTAAATGCGATGTTTTTACACTTACCTGATGCTACACCTATAGGCCCACCCAGACTCCGACCTCCTCCTCTGCCTTACCGTTGGCGCCACTGTGTACTCTACGTCTGATGTATGATAGGGCCAAGGGGGATAACTCGTGGATGCCGAGGCACGGGTTGTAGTCTGTTTAAACTGTCTCGTCATTCCAGTGCTGTCTGTTTGTGTAAGGTAGGGAAGCCAAAGCACCGTGCAGCATCAGGTTAGTGTAAAAACATTGCATTTAATCAGAAATGCTCATTTTATATCGTGGAATACCGATATACAGGTACTACCACGCACCTCTACTGTTACAAGACATCAGAACTCACTGTTTTTCCCTCTGGTATATTCTGGCACTGATGTCATAGAGGTTTATGTTCTCATACAAATTATCAAACAATAGTTATTGTAAGATATTCAGGGTTAACTGTATCAACAACAGTTATATTCTACACATTTACAGTAGCACACATGTACCAAACCTGGTGATATAGTAAAAGTTCCATTAACCCGCCATGCTTGTTATGGATCTATTACATGGGGAAGGCACTCTAGCTGAGAACTGGAAGGATTGGTTTCAAAGGTTTAAGATTTATGTAACAGCCAGCGGTATTGCTGCGAAGTCAGAGGGCATGAAGAGTGTGACCATGTTACATTTGGCAGGAGAATCAGCCATGCAGGTATTCAATTCATGGGCGAATGAAGGCAATGAAAAGTAGTGTTTCAGCAATATTCTCAACCGAAGTAAAATCTGACAGACAATAGAAATACATGCATTCTGCACGAAATCATAGAAAAATGGGAAAACCATCAACCAGTATGCAGACCAGTGAATTTGCTGACTTTACTGAAGGGTTAATTAAAGATTGACTTTGAAGAATACAACCTTTATTACATCAGACATAATCCCACCCACCTCCCCAATAAGCTGCAACTTACATCCAAGTTTTCTTGTTTGCTTTTCAGGGATGTTCACTGCAGTCTCTTAGAAAATCTTCAGACAGTGCTTGAAACAACCTTGCCATCACCCAAGAACTCCAGTAGAGAGGTAGGAGCAATCATCTGGCTGCATCATCTTGGGCAAATACAAATGTGAAATTGAGATTTGATATGTCACATTATCTTCACTGCATTTAAAAACTCAATTCAAAGAACTCAAATTGATAAAAGCAAGTAAAAGTTCTTTTACAAATAACTTTTCATGTTTAGTAATTGTAGAAATTTTGTAAGAAACTGTAGGTATTGAGTTATAAATTTGCTTACAGTAGGGTAAGTACTCAGTAAAACAGCCACAACCAAATGTTTACTTGCAAATTGGTCTTCTACAGTTGCTTCAGAGCACTGCAGCACCTTCTACAGTTGCTTTAGAGCACTGCAGCGCCTTCTACAGTTGCTTCAGAGCACTGCAGCTCCTTCTACAGTTGCTTAAGAGCACTGCAGCGCCTTCTACAGTTGCTACAGAGCACTGCAGCGCCTTCTACAGTTGTTTTGGAGCGTTGTCTACAGTTGTCCCAGAACATTGGGGCACCTTCTGCAGTTGCTTCAGAGCACAGTGGTGTCTTCTACAGTTACTTCAGAACGCCTTCTACAGCTGCTTCAGAGTACTGCAGTGTCTTCTACAGTTGCTTTAGAGCACATTGCGGCACCTACAGTTGCTTCAGAGTGCTGTGGTGCCTTCTGTAGTTGCTTCAGAGCACTGCGGCACCTTCTACTGTTGCTTCATAGCGCTGTGGTGCCTTCTACAGCTGCACCAGAGCGCTATGATGCTTTCATGCCTTGTTTCAGAGCAATGCGTCACCTTTTACTGTTGCTTCAGAGCGCTGTGGTGCCTTCTCCAGTTGCTTCACCGCACTGCACTGCTTTCTACAGTTGCTTTAGAGCGCTGAGGTGCCTTCTACAGTTGCTTCAGAGCACTGCGGCAATTGTTTCAGAGCTTTGTGGTGCTTCAGAGCCTTCTACAGTTGCTTCAAAGCACTGCAGTGCCTTCTCCAGTTGCTTTAGAGTGCTGCTGTGCCTTCTACAGTTGCTTCAGAGCGCTGCGGTGCCTTCTGCAGTATCTTCAGAGCAATGCATCACCTTCTGCAGTTGCTTCAGAGCACTGCAGTGCCTTCTCCAGTTGCTTCAGTGCGCTGCGCTACTTTCTACAGTTGCTTTAGAGAGCTGCAGTGCTGTCTTCAGTTACTTCGGAGCACTGCGGCATTTTTCACAGTTGCTTCAGAGCACTGTAGTGCCTTCTCCAGTTGCTTCAGAGCACTGCGGTGCCTTCTACAGTTACTTCGGAGCACTGCGGCACCTTTCACAGTTGCTACAGAGCAATACATCACCTTCCCCAGTTGCTTCAGAGCGCTGCAGTGCCTTCAGTGCGCTGCGCTACTTTCTAGTTGCTTTAGAGCGCTGAGGTGCCTTCTACAGTTGCTTCAGAGCGCTGCAGTGCCTTCTACAGTTTCTTCAGAAAGCTGCAGTGCCTTCTACAGTTGCTTCAGAGCACTGCGGCACTTACAATTGCTTCAGAGCTTTGTGGTGCTTCAGAGCCTTCTACAGTTGCTTCAAAGCACTGCAGTGCCTTCTCCAGTTGCTTCAGTGCGCTGCGCTACTTTCTACAGTTGCTTCAGAGCACTGCGGTGCCTTCTGCAGTATCTTCAGAGCAATGCATCACCTTCTACAGTTGCTTCAGAGCACTGCAGTGCCTTCTCCAGTTGCTTCAGTGCGCTGCGCTACTTTCTACAGTTGCTTTAGAGAGCTGCAGTGCCTTCTGCAGTTTCTTCAGAGCACTGCGTTGCTGTCTTCAGATACTTTGGAGCACTGCGGCATTTTTCACAGTTGCTTCAGAGCGCTGTAGTGCCTTCTCCAGTTGCTTCAGAGCACTGCGGTGCCTTCTACAGTTTCTTCGGAGCACTGCGGCACCTTTCACAGTTGCTTCAGAGCAATGCATCACCTTGTACAGTTGCTTCAGAGCACTGCAGTGCCTTCAGTGCGCTGCGCTACTTTCTACAGTTGCTTTAGAGAGCTGCAGTGCCTTCTACAGTTGCTTCAGAGCGCTGCGGTGCATTCTGCAGTTTCTTCAGAGCACTGCTGTGCCTTCTGCAGTTTCTTCAGAGCACTGCAGTGCTGTCTACAGTTACTTCGGAGCACTGCGGCATTTTTCACAGTTGCTTCAGAGCGCTGTAGTGCCTTCTCCAGTTGCTTCAGAGCACTGCGGTGCCTTCTACAGTTTCTTCGGAGCACTGCGGCACCTTTCACAGTTGCTTCAGAGCAATGCATCACCTTGTACAGTTGCTTCAGAGCACTGCAGTGCCTTCAGTGCGCTGCGCTACTTTCTACAGTTGCTTTAGAGAGCTGCAGTGCCTTCTACAGTTGCTTCAGAGCGCTGCGGTGCATTCTGCAGTTTCTTCAGAGCACTGCTGTGCCTTCTGCAGTTTCTTCAGAGCACTGCAGTGCTGTCTACAGTTACTTCGGAGCACTGCGGCATTTTTCACAGTTGCTTCAGAGCGCTGTAGTGCCTTCTCCAGTTGCTTCAGAGCACTGCGGTGCCGTCTACAGATACTTCAGAGCACTGCGGCACCTTTCACAGTTGCTACAGAGCGCTGTAGTGCCTTCTTCAGTTGCTTCAGAGCACTGAAGTGTCGTTCACAGTTGCTACATTTGCTAGAGATTCAAAAGTTGACATTGATGGCTTCCAGACAAGGTGATTGAGAAGGTTAAATTGTGCTGCTGTTAAGAGGCATTTTCTCACACTGTTTTGAATATTGTCATGTGTAAGTTTCTTGTATAAGAACCTGGAAATTGCAAGCAGTTATGAAGGCTATCACTTTTGACTTTGAATATGTTCTTAAAATAAATCAGTAATATACTGAATCGCAAAAGAAACATCACCCCAAGTAACATTGCATGAAAAGTTGTCATTTAAATATCTGGGGAAGTTTTGTCAAAGTTTCTAAAATTTAACTATACCTTGTCTGGAAAAATGAAATTTGATGATAAAAAACAAAGCAGATGACAATAAAACAGATCGCCCAAACGCATCAAGGCAACAGCCATGGTAACCCGATGCATGTGAGTTCCATGCAAATTGAAATGCACATGCATTCCCTATTTCTTGCCCTATAAAAATCCACCCAGATCGGATAACATTCATTTGTTATTGAATTACTACCAAATGCCAAGATTGACAAGAAATCAGCGACACCAAGCCCTTGGACGATTGCAAGCTGGACAAACCGCCCAGCAAGTATAGCCAATGCATTTCAAGACCACATAAGGACCATATACAGGCTCCAGCAACAGTACCAGACCACCAACACTTACAGATGACCGACCATGTAGTGGAAGACCAAGGATCACCACCCGACGTCAGGATCATCAGAATGTGCGACAGCATCTTCAAGATTGCTTTGTTACTGCTGCGGAAACTGCTCGACAGACCATGGGGACACACCAGCGAAACATTAGTGCGGACATTGTGCATCGACGATTGACGATCAGACACCTCCACTGTCACAGGACACACTGAGGACCCATTCTGACACCACGTCATTGCCGGGACCGTCTTCAGTGGGCATCACGGCACCAGCATTGGCGCCACCAGCAGTGGAGGAGTCCTCTTCTCAGACAAGAGCCTTTACTGTATCTCAACAGCAGATGGCAGAGAGAGAGAGAGAGAGTCTGGCGACGCCATGGAGAACATTTTTCGGATGCTTGTGTTGTTGAGAGAGACTCGTTGGGTGGTCCGAGCATCATGGTTTGGGGTGAAATTGGTCTTGCACAGAGGGTCAGCCCAATGGTCTTCCAGAACATCGGTCTAGGGAGAGGCAATGGTGTCACAGCAGCTCAGTACATTGATCAAGTCTTGAGACCACACGCAATACCTCATTTGGCACGTTGCCACAACCACTAGTTTCAGCACTGTGACAGCAACTAGAGACTTCCTCCAGCAGAAACGCATCAGAAACATGTAGCGGTCTGCCCTCGGTCCCGATTTAAATCCCATTGAGCACCTGTGGGACGAAATTCAAAGACGGCTGAATAAGGCAAGGCCGAGCAAGGCCAACAACTACAGCTGAACTACGTCAGGCGTTCCTATCTCCTACATCAACCGCCTCATCCATTCCATGTATCAACGTTGCACGGCAGTCATTAATGCACATGGCAGACACACGAGATACTGACTCATGATGCCATTCTCTCAGAGACTAGTGTGTTTCACTTTAAGAACATTTGACACTTTAATTTCAACCTTGATGATCAGTTTTGCCAAGTTTCATCTATTTAATATGTCTCAAAGTATGATTACAGTGTTTGGACAAATAAGGTTTCTCATATATCTATCCATGGTGTTGTTTCTTTTGCGGCTCTGTATACAGTATACAAGTATTTTGTTCAGCAAAGGACTGATAAATGTCAATACAGGGATTTATCTAGACCTGCTCAGAGCCAATATTTGACCCCATATCTGCAGGAAATCTTTAAAAAAAAATGCCAGTAAGGCACCAAATATCTCCCAATCCATGTTACAATGTATGAATAGATATAACTTATAACTAATTTTATGGCTTTGAAGAAGTAACCTGTATTCACTTATAACAAGACCAGTAAATAGGAACCGGTTTTAATTCATTGTATTATATCTTTGAATCAAATGCATTCTCAAAATACCTCTGAATTTCAGAAAATATGAACTCTTAAAAAATTTCTATTTTGAACAAACTAATGATTTTTCCTAATTTGCCTCCCAGGGGCAAAAAGTTAACAATCTAAGATAGATCCCTGCAATATAAATGTCAATAACTGTAAGTAACATATCTTTTTTCAGAAATTCAACCTTGAGTGTGGTATTTGCTACTCCTACAGACTTGGTGAAGAGATTCCTGACAAAGTGTGTGATGATCGGTGTTGTGAGCAGACCTTCCATCATCAGTGTCTGTGTGAGGTACTCAAATTGTCTCATTGCTTTGAACACATTCTGACTCTTTTATTCAAATGATATTGGGCATCTACCTTGCTCATTTAGACAATCAATTAAAAAACAGTATAACAGTATTTCGTACAAATACAAAACCTCCATTACATCTTTGCCCGGAATCCTGTATTTCAGCAGATGTCACACTATAAACATCATAAGATTTATGACAGAAGTCCTCTTCACAATCAACTATCCATATTTCTGTGTGAAATGAATTGCATCTTGCTTCCCAAGCCTCCTGTACCTGCATGAGGTGGGAGAACTGAACTTCCTTCCTCTGTGTGCTTCTGTCAACATCTTAAAAGATAGTCAAAGCCCATTATTTGGTAGTTGTCATACACTGTATTTAATTGTTTCTTCTGTGAACATATTACAGTAAACTAGATAGTTCTTGTCCTCCAATACAGCTGAAGTAGGTTTTATTATTAGTTTACCTTTGACACATAGTTGCTAGGTGGTAGCATGTTTTTGGTCAAGATGGCGTCTGCTTCATCTGCTTGGAAGAGGGTGGAGGTGCTGATCTGAGAAGTGCATGGCTGATGCCAGTTGCTCCCTGGTTGAGTGCGCATCACTTTCACAAGAGGGAACCTGGTTGATGACATGTAACCTGTAACTCAGCCATGGTAGAGTGATGTGCTGATTGTACATGTACTATTATCATTCTGCATTATGCCATTAGTGGCTGTGATGGCATATTATGTATTAGAGGAACCTTTTCTTGGCACTCAAACTGTAATGATGGCAATAAATACAAGATGAAACACCGAATGTGGTTCTCAGCTGTTTATTTGTCAAAGCCTGCAAACAGTCTAGGGCTAAGTTCAAGTTCAAGACCCGAGAAACAAGGTGGTTAGAAGAAGTGAAGGTAATGCATGCTTTAAAAGTACCAAGGTGCTTGTGCTTAGATCACAATTACCTTGTCTCATATCATGCTTTTGTGGACGCATCACAGGAGGCATATGGGGCCGTTGTGTATGCAGTTCATCCATTTCTTACTGGCAGATCAAGTAGATTGGTGGTACCTAGAAGTCGCGTAGCACCGTTAAAAGCTGTAAGCATACCTCGATTGGAATTGATGGCTGCCATAGTTGGTCTGAGATTAGTTTTGACAGTGGCACATGCACTGAACTTTGAAATCCAAACTGTAAAGTTCTGGTCAGACAGTTTGAATGTCATATGCTGGATAAAAAGCAACAGTAGGTCTTTCAAAGCATTTGTAGAAAACAGGGTTGGCAAAATACAGTCTGTTACTGATCCGTCTAAGTGGAACCATGTTCCCTCTGAAATGAACCCAGGTGACATGTTATCTCGAGGTGTAGCTGCATCAGAACTGCCAAAGAACAAGTTCTGGTGGTCAGATCCTGAATTCCTAGAAAAAAGAAGAAACAGAATGGCCAGAGCAAAAAAGGTCATGGTACAATAATGACACAGAAAGTGACAAAGAAAAAGTTAAAAAGATATCTGCTTTACTCGCTGTTAACATTGAACAGTCTTCGAGACTTGAACCAACTAGATACTCAAGTTGGCAAAGACTCACAAGAGTAAATGCATGGATCTATCGATTTCTACACAACTGTTCATCTCAAAAGAAGGTGAGAACAACAGGTGAACTGTCTTCAGATGAAATCGAAGACGCTTAAATTAGAATACTTACCCAGGTTCAGAAGGATGAATTCTGTGATGAGTACGCTGCATTGTCAAAAGGAGAAAAAGAGTTGTCTCCAAATTCCAAACTCCTTAGTCTTCAACCGGTAATTGATGATCAGGGACTCATGAGAGTTAATGGTCGGTTAAGACATGCTGAATGTCTTTCTTTTGGAGCAAGATTCCCAATTATCCTGCCACAACATAATTGGGTAATCAAACTCATTGTTAAGCACTATCATGAAGCAGGAAATCATGTCATAGGAACAAACCAGACATTATCAGCCATATTGTCCAAATTCTGGATCATCTCTGGCAGAGAAGAAATCAGACAATGGGAACGTGAGTGTGCTAAGTGCAAACGAGACAAAGCAAAGCCAGCATACCAAGTGATGGCCCCATTACCGAAGTTCAGAGTACAACCATCACTTCGAGCATTTACCGATGCAGGTGTAGATTTTGCTGGTTCATTCTTGACAGTACAAGGACGGAATAAGAAGAGACAAATGCGTTATTTCTGTTTGTTCACGTGTCTCAAGACAAGGGCTGTGCATCTTGAAGTTGCATATGGTCGAGATACAGACTCGTTTTTGAATGCATTCTATCGCATGGCGAGCAGAAGAGGGCTTCCTGAAGTCATGGTGTCAGATAACGGCACAAACTTTGTGGGTGCAGTTAAAGAACTGAAAGAGCTCTTACAACAAATGGATCAAGATATTGTTATGAGATCTCTTGCAAATAAAGGAGTAACATGTTTTTTCAACCCTCCACACACTCCTCATTTTGGGGGAATATTTGAAACAAGGATTAAGGTAGCAAAGAGCGCACTCTATGCCATCCTCAGCAAAGGTGACATCACAGATGAGGATCTTATCACAGCAATGGCGGTAGCAGAAGGGCTCATGATTCCTGGCCTCTCACGTACCAGTCAGCTCACCCTCAAGATGACACACCACTCACACCAAATCACTTCCTTCATGGACAAGCTAGAGGTGTATTTGCACCTGAATGTGTGGACACAACAGACTTCAACCCCAGAAGACGTTGGCGCAGGATTCAGGAACTGGTCCGCCATTTTTGGAAAAGATGGATGCAGGAATGGTTGCCAAGTCTCAACACGCGCAAAAAGTGGAATAGACAAGGTCGAGATTTGCAAGAAAAAGACGTCGTGCTGGTGATCTCGCAAAACACGCCTAGAGGACACTGGAAGCTTGGAACAATCATAAAGACTTACCCTGGAGCTGACGGTCACGTTCGGATAGTGGATGTAAGGGTTGGTCAGACTGTATTAACCAGATCTATAATGAACATCAGTCCACTGGAATGGAACGACTCAGAAGAAGACTGAAAAGACCAAAGATCGGGTTTCAAGGATAAAGCAGTCAAGGATCAAGACTGTGCAAAGAACTGTGTTAGGAACTGTGCATAGTGAACTGAGGATAGTAATTTATTTAGTTGATAGACTATAGTCCATCAAGGCGGGGGCAAATGGACAGAAGGACTGTGCGCGAAAACGCACCAGTAAAAACAGTGCGCCAAAACACACCCAAACAAACATTCAATGGACATGAAAATGTTGTGTTTCACGTGCAAGAAGCACTTACCATGTTACGAGACTGTGGTCTTGTGTTCAGTATGTGCAAAAGTTGTCAGGTGGCAACATGTGCTTATAGTTTAGTCCCAAGACGGGAATTTAGGATAGAAACGTTGTTATAAAACAACATAGTACATATAAAAAGTGAACTTATCCACAATTAGTGGAGAAACATTGTTCATATTAGAAAATAGTGTAATTGATTAGATACATTAAAAGTATGAACTTGTTTCAATAGTTTATTGTTTTGAATTTAGGGGTTATCTTCACTCCTACGCATATTTAGACTTCCGTAGTTTACTTTCATTTTACAAGCCCGGATGTACAGGGATCAGTCATTGTACTTGACAGTAAGGGTGATAGGGACCAGTTGTTACTGGATATTGCAACATCCCTTCTTCTTTAAGAGTCCATGAGTCCATAGGAACTTTGGCACACACTCAAAGATAATATCACAATTAAACTGGCATCGAAGTTAGTTGACATTAAATTGAAGTAATGTTTAAGGTAGCATTCATAATAAAGCTACTAAATTATGAGGCTTTTTAACTGTAAGTGAATCAGATTAGTGTCCATGACCTTACTGGTCTGTAAACATTCACTCACATTAACAGAATAGAATGACTGTTAAATGAAGGCTTCAACATATAATTGTTGAACTTGAGCACAACTATACTCTACACAGTAAAGTCTCTGAGATGTTTGGGCAACTTCACTGAACATCCACTTCTGGTGGTAGTCGGTGGTGTAGTCTGTGCTTGCTTCATGGTGGTCAGCGGTCTGTCCGTCTAACTGGTAGGACTGTTAGATGGCACATTGCCTTTTACTGCAATCATCCTTAATGGCAGGTGTGAAATAACAATATTTTGGTCAGAAAATATACTTATATTTAACTTATATAATGGTAGTTTTTACAAGCATCATCATATGTTTTTACAAACTCTCTCAATTTGAGTTGATATAATTGTCATAGTCCTAAAATCACTATAATTAACCCATAATTATAGTGGTCATATTTCAATAATATGTTTTGTATTTCTCTCAATATTTTATCTTACAACTAGCTAAACCTAAGTATATTTCTGTAGATAATGTTAGTCAGTTGCCATGCACGTAACTGACCGTCACAAACCAGTGACTCTGGATTATGTAACTCAGCCAGATGGCCAGGCTAGGGTTATGCCTCAGGCTATAACATGCTGTGTATGGCCGGTCGCATCGTCATTTTAGTATCAGATAGGTGGAATATAAAGGATATTACGCGGTCAGTGCGCTCCGTAACTGTCGAATAATTGTAATTTATGCGTCACGCATGTAGCAGATTTACTTCATAGTTTCAATATTAGGTAACTAACGCATTCTACAGAAGGCCTGAGTCCCTATATATACGGTGTCCAGTGGCAGATACTTCACTCTGCCACGAATAAAGACCTAAAGGGACTCAGCAGCCTTCCCTCTGTTTTTAAGGTAAGATAAGATTATTTCTTGTTAAATTCTCCTTGCCTTTGACTTATATGATATCCTGTGCAAGCAACTATATATTTACCATGGTTTGTAATATTTAAGAATAAGTTATATGTCATTCATTATACCGCAAAGCAACTTGAATGTTAATTGTATGTGTGTGTGTTTTTATAGATATTAGTAGATTAGTTCACTTGTACATTAACTGTTGATATGCCAAGTGATGGATAAAGCCGTACATTACATAGCATGAGAAGGAGTACAT